GTCAGAGTTTGGACCACCGGGTGGGTCCCTTTGGTTTCACATGATTTCAGAGGAATACTCACCGGGCTCGTGTCCTCGGCTGAGGAGTCCTTTGCGCCTTCCGCGGTACTTGCTGTTAGGCAGTCTGTGTTACACTCCGGAGGCAATTCTATTGGCAGTGGTTTGCTCACCTTTGCCCACATCGTTTGATCACCATAATCTATAATCGCGTCGAAGCGATTTATAAAATCCTGGCCAACCAAAAATGGGAATGAGTCAACACTAGACACGTGTACCGGGTGGTATAGTGTCATTCTGTCAATCTGCATGTGAACCATTGCTATAGCTGTCAGGGTTGTCCTCTTCTCTGAGAGACCCTGCATTTCTATAGCACATTCTGTGAGAGGTATTATCCTGTTAACACTGGCAGCGGCTGTCCTCAGCTCCTCGAACAGTTTAGCTGACATAATTGTTATGTCCGCCCCACTGTCCAGGAGTGCTTCATGTGTGAGGACACCTTCGAGCGTTACTGACAGGTATGCCTTCTTGGCGACCCACCTTCTGATAAAGTTACACAGAAACCTCTTAGGTTTTTTCTGATGTTTCTTTACACGTTCAGCCTTGTCTGTGTAATCTTGGTTTGTCTGAACCGTCAGCACAGCAGTAGCTGTTTCTGAGTGTTCAGATTGCGATGACTCGTCATCGTTTGTGTGTGAGTTCACCCCCCCCCCTCTTCCGATGAGGGGTTGTTGGAGGCCACAACAACAATGTCTTGGTGTGTATCACCGACATCTGTGATGTTGTCATTCGCGCCCTCTGATGTAATAGTGATTACATCACTGCATAGTGCTCCAGGTTGGTTTCCCGTGTCAGTGTGTTTCAAAGTTTCTAACAACCTGCGTAGTTTCTCTGTCTCTTCCGAGCTCAGAGGTGTAGGGCCTTGTTTCTGGAAACTTTGTGATTTTTTTCACCTCGGTTCGTTTCGTCCGAGGTGGGGGATGGTTAGGTACGTCTTTTGGGGGTTCCTTTTTGGACTTCCCCTGATAATATGGGTCACCTTGGTTCCCATATCTTTTCGTCCTACGCACACCCCACTTGCGATAATCACGTTCATCCTCTGAAAGAGGAGCTTTTTTGTCCCAGCGTGCACCTTCATGACGCGGTTTGTTAGTTTGAAAAGACTGCTTTTTCTCGCCTTTCTTAGGAGGAGGAGGCGATGCACGCCGTCCTTCCAGTTCTAGCGAATGGGGTTTAACCTTTACACCAGGAAACACCTCTATGGGCGTCTTAGATTTTTGCTGAAAACAAATTTAAAACCTTCTTCCTGCTCCATTCCGGTTTCATTTCTGTAACCAAAATAAGCTTGGAAGATTCTTTTGTAATAAACCTTTGGATGTTCATGCTTCCCTTGCGTGACCTTGTCTGCAGCTGGGAAACCACCAGGCCCCGTGCAGGGGTCGTATTCCCTGATCAAAGCTTCA